ACTCCAGATGAGGTTCCATGTGGCCAGAATAAAGTAGGATCACCACCTCTCTCTCTCTTTTTTTGCAGGGGGGGGCGGGCGGGCTAGGCAATGGGGTTAAGTGACTTGCCCAGGGTCTCACAGCTAGTAAGTGTTATGTGTCTGAGGCTGGATTTGAACTCAGGTCCTCCAGGGCCGGTGCTCTATCCACTGCGCCACCTAGTTGCCGCCACCACCTCTCTTTTCCCCTGAGCTAATGACCCTCTTCAGGCAGTCCAAGATCAAATTTGGTTATCTGGCGACACATCACACTGTTGATTCATACTGAAGTCTGCACTCCACTAAAACCCCAAATCTTTTTCAAAACAACTGCTGCCTATCCATGCCTCCCCCACATTAACTTGTGAAGTTGATTTTTTTTAATCCAAATTATCCCTACTGAATATCATCATATTAGATTTAACCCAGTGTTCTAGTTTGTCAAGATCCTTTTGGATCCTGTCATCCATTGGGTTAGCCTACCCTCTCAGCTCTGTTCTCTGAAAAAGTGATGGACATGTCATTTAAGCCTTTATCCAAATCTTAATCCAAATATATATACATGTATGTGTGTGTATATTAAAAAAAAACACATATGTAAGGATCACAGGGCCAAGCAAAGATCCCTGGGATAGGTCCTTGAAGTCCCTACCTTATTGACGTTGCACTGTAACAACTATTCTGAGTGTTACATCCAACCAGTTTGGAATCCATCTGATTGCATTATTGTCTAATCCTTATTTCTTCATCTTTTCCACAAGACTAGAATGAGTACTTCATCAAAAGCTTTGCTGAAATCTATCCACAATACATCCCTCATCTATTAGCTTAATAATCCAATCAAAAAAAGGAAATGTGGTCTGGAATGACCTGTTCTTGATGAAGCCATACTGACTCTTTGTAATCACCACTTCCATATCAATATATTTGATAACTGTCTCTTTAATGATTCATTTAGAATTTCTCCAGGAGTCAAATCAAGCTCCTTGCCCTACACTTTGCAGACTCCCTTCTCTTTTGTTTTTGTTGTTTTTTTTAAATCAGGATGTTTGCATTTCTTTAACTTTGTGATACCTCGTTCTCCTGTTTTCCATGAGCATTTAGTTCTTTGAGGACTCAAGGACCCAAGCCAAATAACTTCATCCCGGGCAACTCGATGCTCTCTTGCAATCTCCTTATATGTACCATGCATCACCTCCCTGTTAGGAATTTTTGTTATCATTTCCAATGTAAAACTCATTTTCCTTCACAGATAAAACAAAAAAGTGAGAACTAAATAGCTTTGCCTTCTCTCTCTCAGTAGATCTCACCCCTTTATACCCACAGCAAAAGGTCCTATTTCTTCTTTAGTCCTCCTTTTTCTCCCTATGATAAAAAAAACTTTTTATATTGTCCTTAGCTTCCCTTGCCTGCCTCAACTTACCCTTAGCTTTAGTACTCTGGCACTACTGCCATGTTCTCATCTACATTCTCTTACGCTCCCATCTCCCACAGATTTCTTTCAGAAATCTGATTCAGCTGATGAGTTCCTTGCCCACCCAACGACAACCGACACCGGCATCTTTAGACGAATCCCATGTTTCCTCCCCACAGCCTCCCACCCCATCTCTCTTGCTGTACCTCTCCCTGAAGCATTTTACTCCATGGGATCCTATCTTTCCTCTAAACCTTTTGAAATATGCTTTCCCAAAACCTAAGGTACATCTCAAATCATGCCTAGATTTCCTCTCCTTCTCTATCATAGATCCTGTGATCAAGTGGTCACTTCCTCCTAAGGAGGAATTTCCACTCCAACATTCAGCTACAGAATTTCCCCTTGTTAATTACTCCACCTTTCGAAGGATGAAATTATTACGAAGGCAAGTCAATAAGCTTTAGCTGCTCTACTTTTGGCAGAGAGAGAATGCCAACAGATGTCTGAATTAATGAAGTCCCATTACTACAATATCATGGCTCAGGGCTAGGCTTGCAATGTTTCCCCCAACTCATCTATTTCCTCTCTCCCCAGGTGGTCTTTAGTGTACTCTGATAAAAAAAAAAACCCACCACCAAAAAACTAGGGTTGTCCTCCTCTGACCTTCACCCAAATGTTCTCCATCATGCTTCCCCCAGCTCCAGGTCCTAAGATGATATACAAAGCTGCCCCCCGCCCTGTACCCCCTTTCACTTCTTCCCTCAGATGAATAAGATACTTTATTTTGCCTTAACTAATGAACTCTTACACTACTTATCACAGTACCTATGCCGAAGGAAATCAATAAGTTCAATATTTCCTTAGATTCCAAGTCAAAGCCCCCAAATAAGCTGTGTCTGAAACAAATTTGGATCATGCATTGAAGACAATGCATTTGGGCAATCAACTTGGGTTAAGCATGGAAGATGAAAAATTAGCATCCTAACTGTACAATTTGAAGGCCTTAACACAAAACACAGTACCAAATGCATGATGGATCCCCCAGGGGCTAGTCCTTTCTACCTCTAAACCCAGTATCTTATTTCCTTACTATTTATAAAATGGTAAAAAAATTGAAGATACAGGTGGTATCTCTCCTAAAAATGCCCCTTCAAAGGAGAACCCCAACTTGACATGATTACACATTTTAAAATGTGTAAGAAAAATCAATGAAGAGCTACCTAGGCAAAATTAAAATGATCTTTCACACTGTAATGAATATTTGGGGTCCCTCAGCAGAAGCAATGGAGTCCCAAGCTCAGAAGAAAAGCACTCTAGACTAAACTGGGCAAAACTGTGAAAACCTAAAGGATGCTTTTTAGTGAAACACCAAGTCCAGAGAAAAAGATGAATGCCAGGATGAAAAAATTCAGTTTTTGCACAAACAAAATCAACGCAGTAAAAATTAGGAGTGGCAGAGCTGAGGAAAGAACCTGCTAGAGAAGACTTAAGAGCAAGGGGAGGAGTTGACAGAAAACAGGAAGAACATAGCAGAGGAGGAAAAGAAAATCCAGGAAGTAATGATGGAGAATTCCTTTCCCAATCATGGAATGTGAATAGGGTGTAAGTGCCTATCACCAAAGGAAAGGTCTGTCAGAGATTTTCCTATGAGCATAACCCAGGAGACATACTAGCTGAATTGTTGAGGCAGGTGGCTATGAAGGCAGCTGTTGTAACCAGAAGCCAAAAAACGATGAACCTGGGGCCCCAGTAAGCCAGCAGACTGAAAAAAGTAGTGACAACAGGGAATACCAGGAAGATACAATGGAATATTTTAAATCTAAATTAAGCCGATTAACATAAGACTATACTTGAAAGATTTCCCCGCAAGTATGTCTGGTAGCCTAAAATTCCCTCACAGTAGTAAAGGCTTCTTATGTTTTTGAACAGTATACGTCAGACTGCAGAGGACAGAGAAAAAGAACTCAATTCAATAAACATTAAGCACCCTTCGACTTGCCAGACACTGGTTGAAAAGCTCATAAACTTAGGTGAAAGGCCACAAATTCAATCTTTGAAGGAGAAATCTTAACCACTAAATCTTGGATGATAAAATTATAGCAGCTAAACTATCTGAGGAAGCCTTCAGTTTGGAAGTTGTTCTTAGGAGAGGTAGGTACAAGGCCACCCAGTTTAACACCTCACATTTCAAAAAGAACAAGAGTAAAATCAGTTCCATTTTCATTAACATTTCAAATCAGCTGGAGTCAAAAGTTTTTGGGGTTTTTCTTAAGCCTACTCTCTAAAACACCCCCAAAATATTCTCTCTATCGCTGTCACCACACTCCCAAGCCAGATCCAAGTTCTGACATTGGGCTGGGGGGAGTGTCCAAACATGACCCTGGCAGAGGCTCTCTGCAAATTTAGACCTGTCACTGGTCATCCGTGCATGGATTGCCATGTCAGGCCAGTTTCTTGCCAGGGGCTGGGTCATTTAAAAAAGAAAAAAAAAAAGGCCATAAACAACGACTGGGACACCACTTAAGGAGAAAGGCAAACGGAAGGGAGGTCGGGTCCACGACCCACCTAGCTCGCCTGCGTCTCCCACATGCCATCCCCCCCCGCCCCCCGCCCCGCGGCTGACACTGGAAGAGAGATGGAGGAAGGAATGGGGCACGAGCCGCGTAGAGACACCCGATCCCCCAACCCTCATTTCCTTCGTGTGCCCCTCCACCTGCCCCCTACTTTGGCCTCTTTTAACTGGGGGAGGGGAACAGAGGTGGAGGCGGCGGAGCCCTCCCATCACCCCCATACGGATCTAGACACCTCTTTCTCCCCCCCCCCTCCACCCCGGGTTGATCCAAGACTAGGCGGGCGGGCGTCCAGCGCGAGCCAGGCCGGGGCCTCCCTGGTGCAATAGGCTATCGATTCAGCCGCCTGTCGCTAGGAGCCCCAGGAGAGCGAGGCCTACATCTCCCAGGCCTCGATTTCACCTCTTTCCCCTATACCCGAGGGGCAGCCCCGGGGCGAGGGGAGCGTGGGTGGGGAGGGAGGGCAGCGCAAGCCGCAGCTTGGGGAGGGAGAGGAGGGAAGAGGAAGAAGCCCGGAAGGGCAGAGGGTCCACCTGCAATGGCAGCCCCCCTCCCCTACGGAGACGGAAGAGGCCGAGGGGGCGTGCAACCGAGCCCAGCTCGGCCGGGGAGGGGGGGCGGCGGAGATGCGAGCGGCCGCCCCGGCCCGGCCCCGACCCGGGGCCTGCCCGGCCTCTGCCGCCGCAGGCCCCGCGAGTGCACCTGGGGAAGTAGCGAGAGGAAGAGTTTCCCGTCAAACTTTGTCAGGGACGGGGCCCCCCCCGTGGCCCGTCGGCGACGCAGTCTCCCGGCACCCCGACGCCCAAGGGGGCCGAGCTCGGGAGCTGTCAACCATTTTAGATCTTTTTAGACCAGGCATCGCCTCCCTGCCCCGGGGGAGGGCCCCCCACCCGGGAGCCCGGCCCTAGCTTTGCGGGACCCCTCCCCTCCCGCCGGGGCAGGAGGAGGAGGAGGGAACCCCGCGGAAGGGGGAGGGAAGCGAAGAGGTCGGATCTTACCTGAGACCAGCCACTGGCCTCCATTGTTGGAGAACTCGATGGCATTGACACAGCCGAAGTGGCCGAGCAGGTCCTTCTTGTAGAGGTTTCTGCAGCCCCGCAGGCGTCTCCTCTGGAAGTCCTGAGTGAGCAGCGGGTCCCCTTGCAAGCCCCGCTGCGACAGGAAGCCCACCACGGACCTCATGCTGCTGCGCCCGGGGCCGGTTCTCTTCTTCATGCTGCGGCCCCGCTGCTCCTGCCCGCGGCGGCGGCGGCGGCTGCGGAGGAGGCTGAGGCTGCTGCGGCGGCGGCGGCGGCGGCGGCTGCTGCTGCTGCTGCTGCTGCTGCTGCTCCGGCTCCTCCCGCTTCTGCCGCCGCCGCCGCTCCCTCCGCTCGCCGCCCCGGCCCGGCCTCACTGCTTTCGCCGTCTCTTTCTCCACCCGCGGCGTCGCCCCCCTCCTCCTCCTCTCTTGGTTATGATTATGATGATTTTTTTTTTTAACCAGCCATGGCAGACAGAGCGAGAGAGAGGGGGTCTGGACACTGCGAAGCTTTCGCTGCTTCCTGATCTTCTCCCCCTCTGCCCTCCTCCCTCCTCCCTCCTCCCTCCTCCTTCTCCTCCTCCCCTCCCCCGGCCCAAACTCCTCCCTCCTTGGATCCCCGCCTCCTTCGCAGCTGATCCTCAGCTGCAGCCTGGCTTCCTGAATACACCGCTTTTCCTGGTGGCTTTCATAGTGACGGCAACACCTTCCTTTCCGCCCCTCTCCCTCCCCCTTCCACTCTCCTCCTCCTCTTACCCTCCTTCTCTTCTCCCTCTTCCTTCCATTGCCGTCCTCCTTCTACCCCCTCCTCTCCTCCCCCTATTCCTCCTTCCATCCTCCTCCCCCGAACTCCCCTCTTTTGGGGCTGGATCTGTGATTTCATCAGGATAGGAAACTCCCGGATGAGGAAGCGCCCCCTCCCAAAGCGTGTCTTCCCCTTTCTCGGCCACTTACAATCCCAGAGAGAGTTGCCTCGGTCGCAGGGATGGTTCAAGTGTTTTGCCCAGGACCATCAGTGGAGACTTGAACCCAGGACTTCCGGGCTCTCGGTCCACGCCTCCCTGTTCAACTGTTCTCGGGCAGCGAATCATTTCTTTGGTATTTCTCTTGCAACCCTGGGTGCCCGCCTCTCCGGGTTGCAAGAGGAGGGGGTTCCGCCTTCCTCTGTCAAAGGAGCGGTTTATTACTGAACGGGTGCGTGTGTTCCAGCCAAATGGAATAGCATCCAGGCCCTTCCGGGATCCGGGTTCCAGGAAAGCGTTTTATTCCTCCTAGCCTCCAAACCCCGACTCGAAGGAGCGGGAGGCCGGAGATGCTCCCCGACCTTGCTGCACCCGGCTCCGCGCCGCGGCTGCTCCGCACTTTGTGAAGTTGGGTGTACGTAATAATAACAGGTCCTCTGGTTTTCCTGCCCTGGAATATTTACTCGTTTTACTCTCTGAACCCGAGAGAATACGTTTAACAGCAACGCATTGCAAACTTAAGGCCAAACACGCAGTGACAGGTTCGATTCTTCGGTCAATTCCCAGGCTCAACAATTTGGTCTGTTACCCGGCCCCACCCCCTCTTAGAAGGAAGGAATGGCTTGGGGCAGCCTCTGGCAGTCCAATATCGGTAGATATTTTAAAAAATAATAATAAAGTTGCTCGACGTTCCTGATTTCTAGACTCAAGGACGAGATGCTCTAGAGTTTTGCTTATGTATAAACATACCTCTCTCCTACCAGCCTTCCCCAAATACATCCTTAGTTCTCTCTCACCCCTATATTTATCCATACCAAATAATAATGAATCTTTGAATCTGGTGATCCCAGAGGTTTATAGAAATAATAATAATAATAACAATAAGTGACACTTAAGAAGTGAACTTCAAAATGCTTTCAGATACCCTACAAAGCAGAGGTGCTAAGCTCTGCTGGGAAACAGACAACACTCGTAATTAATAACTGATTTTTTGCAGCACACAAGACCTATCCTTCCAAAACACCCTTAGTTCGATGCTCTAGGTTCCTATTAAGATTCCAAGTCAGCAAAAGCCTGTTGCTGTGCAGCAGCTAGCTGTACATCCCAGGAGGAATGGATACAGTTTAATTGATGGCGGCCATAACTGATAACAGTGCATTATAGTAAGCGATTATTTTTTTAAATGGATTTTGGTCCTTCTAGAGGATGTCTTCTCTGTTTCACAAAATCATTTGTCTGGGTCAGTTTTCTGGTAGTTTCTTCCTTTTTTTTTTTAAACCAATTAGCAGATCCTCTGTATATTAAGTTCACTGGTCCAAGCCCCAATGTCTATTACTTTCTGTGTGCAATTGTAGCAAACATAAAGGTTATTATTAATAAGACAAATAATAGAGGGGCAAGGTTTCTAGACTAAACTTTACAGAAACCCACCAAATCCCAGAGGTCACATTTTTAGTGGGACATTGTCCCTTCTAAGTAAAGATGGCAATAAAACTTTGTTAGAAAAGTTTGCATATTTGTCAAAACTGTGTTTTTTTCCTATTTCTTTTTTACAAATTTTTCCTAGGCAACAGAAGGGGAAGAATTATATTAAGAAATAAATGTGACATAAAGACAAACATTATCAGTAAAAATAAGAATTTTTAAAATACATCAACAATCCATAAAAAAGAAATATCTATAGAGTAAAAATTTGCAATGCTCTCCTAAAATGCACTTATATTTTTGAGCTCCAATTACAAACCTTTCAACAAACATTTATTAAGTGGCTAGGCACTGAGGACAAACAAAAAAGAAAGGCTCCTTCCCTCAAGAAACTTACACTCTACTACAGGAATGCAAACTATACACAAGTAAATACAAAGTATATATATGAACTACTTTCAGGAGGGAGATAGTGCTAATGAGGGGGAGGTGGGAAATCAGCAAAAAAATTAATGTGGGAATTGTGCTTTGAAGGAAGCCAGGGATTCTATGAGGTAGAAATGAGAAGAAAGTGTGTCACAGATGTGGGGAACAATTGTTCCAAGATATGGACATGGTAGATGAAATCTCATATTCTGGGAACAGCTGGCAGGCAATCAATTTGACTGGAATGGAAAATTTATGAAGAAGAGTAGTAAGACTTGTTGGTATTCAGATTGTGGAGGGCTTTAAACGCTAGACTGAGGATTTTGTATTTTATTCTGGAGGCAAGAGGGCACCATTGAAGGTGATTTTTAAGTAAGAGGCTGTGGCATAGTCAGATTTTATATGTGTGTATATGTGTGAATATACACACGTATAAAATCTATATTATATGTGTGTATATGCACATATATGTAATGCAGATTTTATACATATATATGTGTATATATTTATATGTGTACATATACACATATGGCTCTAGCCTGTATGACGGCCGCCAGTTGGTTACTGACTCCAGTAAGATGGAACTGTGTGGGCTTTAGGAGCCATTATATCATCCCCTAGGCTTCAAATGAGCTAATTATTGTAACTGGGTGTTAAACTGTGTGTATATATGATGAGATACCATCCCTGGCTAACCTTTCTGATACTGGTTGAACTTGCACTCCTAATCCTGACTCACTGGTTATGGTCAGAGGGAGTTGGAATACTCCTTGCTCCCCTCTTAAGCTCTTGTTCTTCCACTATCACTGCTAAACTCTCTTCCTTTAAGGTTAATGCAACACGTAAGACCCAATACGATTCTGGTAGTTGATATCTTCGAGACAACACCTCCAGGACAGATCTCCAAGACACAGGCTTTTCTTCCTCAATGAGTGCACTGCCTGGTTCACAGTCTTTCTCTACTCCTTGCCTCCTGACCTCATACTAGGGGACTTCAACATGTGTACTGATAGTCCCTCAAATAACATAACCTTCCAGTTTCTCAACTTACTCATTTTCCAAGACCAGTTGCTCTTTTATTCCACCTCAGCTGCACACAGTGATGGTCATAACCTGTATTCCACATGCATGTTTATGAGCTCCGCAATTCACTGATTATGACCTGATGTCATTCTAAATGTTCATCTGCCTTGCAATTCCAAATCCTGTTTTTCCTCCTTACCATGACTTCCAGTCATTCCACACTTCCCAAGCCATCACCCCTGCACTGGCTACATTTGCTTCCCCTTCCCATCTTGACCCCCCCCCAATCAGTTCAGCTCTACAGTAGTCCATTTCTCTTGCTTGCCCTTTAATCTGTTGAAGATCTTGCCCTTCCGAACATAGCTTTAGATTATTACCCTCCACCCTTTGCTTTTGCTCCTACTCACATTCTACTGTCTGAAGAAGAAAATCAAGAAACTGTGCTGACTCAAGCCACTACAAGTATATGTTACATAATCTCAACTGGGCCCTCATCTCCCATTCATCATAGCAGCTTTTCCAAACCTTTTCATCTCTTCTCAAATCTCCTTCATTTTCTACACCCTCACCTGAGAATCTTGCCTTATATTTCATTGAAAAAAATTGAAACTATTTGCCAAGCGTTCCCTCTTCTCTCCTCCTTATCTCACATCACTTAAATCTTTCTGCCACTATCTCCTCCTTTACATCTGTCTTATATGAAGAGATGGCCCTTCTCTTTGACAAGGCTAACCCCTCTACATGCACAAATGGTCCCATTCCATCCCATCTTCTCCAGCAGATTGCCCCCCCCATCATCTTTATTCTTTCATTTATCTTTAATCTCTCCTTCTACTGGCTGCTTCCCTTCTGCCTACAAACATGCTCATGTCTACCTCATTCTCAAAAGTCCCTCACTTGATTTCTCTACAAACACTTATCATCCTTTATCTCTCCTCTCTTTTATAGCTAAACTCCTTAAGAAGGCTACAATGGTTGCCTCCAATTTCTTTCTCCCTTCTCTCTTCTTATCTCTGTTATCTGGCTCCTGATTTCATCATTCAACTGAAACTGCTCTCTCTAAAGTTACTGTTGTTCAGTTGTTTCAGTCTTGTCTGACCCTTTGTAACTCTATAGACCATACTGTCCACGGGGTTTTCTTGGCACAGAAACTACTTGACACAAACTACTTGAATAGTTTGCCATTTCCTTCTCCAGTGACAAACAGAAGTTAAGTGACTTGCCCAAGGTCACATAGCTAGGATGTTTCTGAGGCTGGATTTGAACTTAGGTCTTCCTGACTCCAAGCCCAGCACTCTATCCACTTTACCCCCTCTCTAAAGTCACTAATGATCTGCTGATTGCCAAATCTAATGGCTTTTTCTCAGTCCTCATCCTTTGTGACCTTTCTGTAGCCTTTGACACTGTCGATCACCCTCTTTTCCATGAGATTT